AACAACATTATTATTAAATCATATAAAAAAAAAAAATTAAATATAAATAAAAAAAAAAGTAAAATAAAATAAAAATAATTCAGCTCAATGATAACATCAATATCATATTAATAGCTGCCATTAGTCATTATTACATTTAATTTCTAATAACATTCCTATCAGAAGGCATGCTACTAGTAATACACCCCTATAAATATTCCTTTACACAAAGCCCCTTCGATGTCATTTAGCAAATAAAATAACTGTACTGAGCCCACCCGAAAGTACTCTTGCAACAGAGTTGGTGACTTTACTGAGGTGCTGCCCGAGACGTTCTTAAATTGGCATTAAAAAGTATTTAGCATGTTAACAAGCTAGCACTGAATATGTAGCAGAGGGCGGCGAGGGCGTGAGGCAGGGGCAGCAACCCCTGTGTAAAAATAATAACAACAAAAATTGATATGAGGCAGAAAGTTCATATGTAAACACACACACACACACAACACACACACACACACACACACACATATACATAGAAAGTAAAGCACACATGCAACATAAATATAAACATCTATACGATGTGTATATGTTATAGAAATTGGCTTTATAATCGGCTTATGTTTTGATATGGGAACAACAGGCAGACAAACAAGCTTAAATTGAGTCTCGTATATGAAAAAGGAAATAATAACAAGTAGGCGGGCGACGCTTGAAGAGTGACTAACTAACAAATACCTTTCAATTGGAGTTTTATTAAAGTCCAATAAGAATGCTGATTATGTTTCGTAGCAGCTCTACTTTATTCATGAGCACAACTCGATGAGTAGTATATTCTACTAATTATCTCTGGCATACCCACTTGCACAGCTCACATATTCAGAGGGCATACAAATATATTGTAGCAGGCAAAAGCTAAATTATGTGTATAAATAACATATTTACATTTTACCATAATACTGATTGCAGATATGAAAAGCTGAAAAATATTATTTTCCATTTCACAAAAATTTATCCAGCAAATTTAACGAGTAAAATTCTTTTGCTAACATTAAAATTCATTTCTCTACAGCTTTGTATTTTTCACTACAAATTCTTTTAATAATTGCAGGCAATTAATTTTTAAGATACTCAACAAATTTTCTACTCAATTGGAGATTAGATATAAGGATATGCATAGAGTTAAGTAAATATGAAGATTTTTTTATTGAATTTTTCCTAAGAAGAAACCAATAAAAATAGTAAATGAATAAACCAAGGATATTTACTTTAGCTATATGTAAACATATACCTAGCAAATCCTCTTCTAAAGCTCTAAATTAGTTTTAGTAAATCAAATATATATAATTTGCAAAATACTTCTCACAGCTGACTTACCAAACAAAATTWAATATAATATTTAAATAAAATATTTTGAAAATATATTTAATAAGCTTTGATATATCATAAAATAAAAGATGAAATTTATGCACAGCTTTCCATGTTTTAGTTTTTTTGTTACCATTTAATCAGGCCAAATATCAAACATATTTTCTGCCACTCATTCATTCAGCTTCCATTCACGCTAGCTAAAGTCCTTTTGCAGTGCTTTGTTGCATCGCCACAAAGTGAAGCGACGCGTTTATTGTTGCCGCCCGACGATAAGACGCAAAATTCCAAAGATGAAGCGATGGCCAGGAGAAACAACACTCGAGTACCATTTATAACGGTAGCGCGTGCTTCAAGCTGTCACACAGGAGAAGCTATCGTCGAGCTGCCACTGTGAAGGCATCTTCTGTTGCAGCAGCAGAAGCAGCCGCAGCAGCAGCAAATGCAGAAATTAATGCACATTGCGGCGGCCACAGTGGGTGAGGGGGAGGGTTCTGCGGGTGTGTTGGGGCGAGGTGCAAAGCGGTCCTTGCTGCACTGTCAGACACAAAGGACACTCGCACAGCGGGGACAGACGCAGCCACACAAAACAAACGATGTGGTTGCAAATTAGTAGTAAACCACCAACTACATCAAGCGTGAGTCCAGGACTTTGGATCAGCCACGCGGCCTGAGGGGAGGGGGCGTTACACTTAGGTGCAAAAAATATGCAGAGACTACCCCAACAGCAGCAGCAGCAGCAACAGCGTCCCACAGCCAAAGCTTGTGAAATAAGTCAGTCAGCCAGTCAGCCAGAGCTGGCGGCACAGAGCAAGCTGCCTGGGGGCCGGAGGCGTGCAGGCGTGGCTCGGATATGGAGTTGCTGCTGCACAGCGCTCGTCTGATGAAAGGACATCGTGTGCACACAGCTAACAAACAGAATTATTTCGTGCATCCTGAAAACGGATGCATGACAGAGGCGGCCAGAGAGATACACAACAGCAACAGCAACAACAGCAACAATAACAACAGCAACTAACAACAGCAAGAATGCAAAGTCTTCAAACAGAATTGAACGAATGTGAAATACTCTTGATGAGACTAATTAGTAGATAGGAGAATTTTCTATAAAATATAACTGCATTAAATATGATTGAATTCTTTAACTTTTATTTCCTTTTGTTTATCATTAAACATAGATTTTATTTTTATTTATTTATTTTTTTTTTAACTTATTTAATATTT